AAAGGTTTTTAATATACATATATTAGCATTAAAAAATTTTGTAATAAAGATATAGATGACAGCATATCAAAATTGGTTTTTTATATCATATATAAGACAGAAAAATCGGAACGAAACGAAATGTTAACCAGTGTCTTACATTCTATAATCGATTAAATGTTCTGGAAATCTTACTCTCCTACGGGAACGCGTTGTTTTGAGTCTGTTTTCAGATACTGCAAAAGTATCATCGTACGTGTTGGATGAGGTATCATACGTGTAATATTCATGTCTTTTGGTTGTGTCGAAGGAAGATCGATATGGATGGTATTTCCTTCTAGATACTATATTTCGATGCGGTCGGTGCTGATGCTATCGTTTGTTCCGTTCTTATCGACTGTATAGCACTTGGGTTTGCACTGAAGAACTTCGAAAGGTCCTTCGTATGCTGATGAGAGAGATCCTCGATGTGAGTCTCGACGTACGAAGATGTGTGTACTATATCTCAAGCCTTATTGGACGAAAATAGTAGTTGGATGCGGTCGAGTGGAGACAAGTTTAACTGAACGCATCGCGTTTGTAAGCCTGTTCGTGTAGGAGGTTAGATCCATATTCATCGAAGAGGGTGAAGGATCCACGAATTCTCCTGGAAGTCGAAGTGTCGTTCCATAAACGAGTTGAGCCGCAGTGTATCCAATGTCAGCTTTCACTGCATTGCGAATACCTAATAAGTCAAGTGGAAGAGCGTCGGTCCACTGTGAAACGTTTGCAGCTGATAGTGAAGCTTTTAGTTGTCGGTGAAAGCGTTCTACTAACCCGTTTGCTTGTGGGTGGTAGGTGTCCGTTCGGAAACGAGTGATTTCTAACAGTGTGGTCAGACAACGGAAAAGTCCAGATTCAAACTAGCGTCCGCGATCTGCAGTGATGGTTGGAAAACAAGGTCCAGATGCAAGAGATAGGATTTTCTGTCCGGACTTGCTATCAAGCAGTCATCAACATACGCATGTACAAAGTTGAGACCTCGAAAGACGTCATCTATGAACTTTTAGTAAATCTGAGGAGCATTTCTTAGGCCGAAAGGCATTTGTGAAAATCCGTAGAGTCCGAGGGGAGATATGATAGCGGATTTTTGGATGTCGTCAGTAGCCATAGGGATTTGGTTATACGCTTTAACTAAGTTGATTTTCGCAAAGACAGTAGTACCCTTCAAGTTAGCTCTCAGATCGTTAATGTGAGGCCACGGTTAACGACCTGGAATGGTTTTTGCACCCAATGTGTAACGTTTCTGGTTACACACGCAATTTCGGTTGCGGTTCGTATGTCCCAGAATACTTACTGAGTATTGGTTGATAGAGTGGATCTATCGTGTGCTTAATTGTGACTGGAACTGGAAAAAGAAGTTACGCAAACAGCTAAATTAGTGTTTCCGTCTACTAGCCTCAGTTCGCGCGTATCGATTATTAGATTGTGGTGTTGTAGGAGGTCTATACCAATGACTGACATAGAAACATCTGAAACAACAAAAATCCAGTGAATGGGTTTACGTAACCCCCCTACTGAGGCAAACGTACCTTTTACCATATATGGCGATAGGCTTTCCGTTTGCCGCCTGCAAATTTAAAACTGATTCGTGAAGCCGGTCGTTAGAATTTGCTGGAAGAACACTAGGTTCTGCGCCAGTATCGATGAGGTAGTGAGCTTTCGTTATCACATCTGTGAAGTACAACAGACGGCTATATTCACCAGCTACGGTTGCCGTTAACGCGTGCCGGCTAGGAAGTTCCTCGAATTTTTTTCGCGTCGGTTCATCTTGAGTTCAGAAAATTGCAGGGTTTTCTGCAATTTCTGGAAGAATTTTCATATTGGTTATGATACCAAAACCAGTGGGGTTATCCGTCTTTCTTGGTCTATATACAGACCACTTACGTGAGGTGCTTCTTCACGGGGTGTGTGACCGTTTCTGGTCAAGAGTTGGAGAGAAAAACAGAGTCCGACTGACATCTTGATGTAAGACTGGACGAACGAAAAACCTCAGTATTTTTATCGGTAACTGAAGAAGGATTATGGTAAATAATAGTGATGCTCTATTCATTCCATACTTTGGTGCCTTCTCCCAGTGACATTTTGCATCCAACAAGGCCTTAATATTTATTTCCAGAACAACAGGTACCCTGATTTTAAATCGGTCTGAAACTTTTCATAGTTTATTCTGGATCTCATCTAAAAGAAGCTCTCAAACTATGTTCCCTTACTCCAAAAAGAATATTGTCCTCTTGGAATGTGTCCGAAGACAAGCAACTTAAAAGGCACTCAGACTATGACATAAACCCTACCTGACTCACCTGGAAACTCTAAACTTGCAATTTGCACAATAGAGAATTGTAGGAGGAGATATGACCTCTTTTTATAATATCGCTTGTAATCCCGTTGACTTATTCATCTAAGTACTAAAATGAACATAATTGGGTATCTTTTTATGATAGAAGAATAAATTGCATGAAAATCCCTTAAAACATTTCCTTGGTGAAAATCATAGGATCGTGAAAATTCTTACCAGAGTCTATAATAATACTATCTCCTAAAGAATCTCTCAAAGGAACTGCAGAGGTTAATTTTATTTCCATATGTATAGAAAATGATCACATCAAATGTTAGTACATGATCTCTTCTACCGATCACACTTAAGAAAGAACATATAGAGAGCAATTACTCTCAATTGTTGAAAAAGGTCTTCTACAACCAAGTTGCAGAACCTGAGTAACAATAAACATGCTAATTTTCCGCAACAATGTTTGGCTTTTGAGTTTTAAGCGCGCATTTTATGAACGGGCAGAACACTGAAGGTAAAACACATTGGTCGTTCGAATCGCTTCATTACACATTAGCCTCTGACTTATCCGTGTTCATTTCAAAAGGTGTGTCAGTTTAAGATTTTCTGGTTTTCATGGTGTGGCTCATTGTTGCGAGAGTCCAGTTTCCTGGGGTTTTTTGTTATCCGAACGTGTTAATTCCATAAAATTAAGGGATCACTTAACAAAATCAAGGTTCTTGAGCGTAGAGCGCAATAGGAAAATATTGGTTGGATGTGAGGGAAGCCCATCTTTAAGTTCGATTACACTGACGTAAATGTTGCTTCACTGATTCCTGTTATGTGGTCCTAAATGTATATACATTTAGGATTACGTAACGAGAATATATTTGTTAGATTGTTTATAGATGTTAAAGATGATGTGACATGATGTTGGTATTACACAAAGTTTGGTGTGGATTGTGACTCATGCTATACACTTGTGAGTTATTCGGTTTTGAATTACAGCCCGACTTGGGTGGGATTCGAAAATATCTTGTACTCTAGCTAGCGCACCTACTACTTTTTCAACAACTAATGTTCGTGTTAATTATCATTGTAGTTACACTAATTTTAACAGTAACTTTGGATAATGTCATTGAGCGTTAAATAGTTGCCGGAAATCGTGTGACTTGTTCCATATAATTAATTAAATACTTGACAACCGTAGTGCCTTTTGAAAGGAATTCACGTTTCTTGTGTCTTCCATGTGCATGGTGTGCAGTTGACAATGTTAGGGACTGGGTTATAGGAAGAGATGCTAGTACACTTCATTTTATCAGGTTTGTGGTTTTCTTGAGATTTACAAATGGGCTTTCAATAATTTTAATGTGTAATCTGTTAGGTATGTACCCAGTGCTAATAACCTGTTGACCAATTCGGAGGATCATTTTGTTTGTTGTAGGTACTCATTCTTGATTAGGCCATCATTTCTGAATTATCATAAATCTGTTTAGATAAAAAGACGGGTTATTGGTTGTGAGTCGCATGCTGAATATGTTAAAAAAGAATAATTTTCTATGAGAACTAGGAAGGCAGACATATGAAGTTTGCGTGTTAATTTTTATTGACGATAGGTGTGATGTATATGTTCTTTGTGGACTACGTTGTTGGTTTCTGCCAGCACTTTGGGATACAGTTCACAAGAACGAAACAGTGTCAGCCATCAAAGCAATTTACTGGTGGCTTAAGGATACAAATAACTTATGCCACATTCGGAGCTTGAAAAAACCACCAGATGAATAATAACCTACAGAAATTAATCGTACTTACGTTTTGTTTAACTTGGGTATCCAAATAAACTCAGGGATACTGATATTGTCATGTCACGTAAAATGTATGAGAATAAATGCAGCATTTACTACAGTTATTTTACAAACCTTTCAGACATTACTGCAGGCTATTCAGGCATAACGTACAACTCGACAGGGATGTGTATTGATCCAAGTTACAATACATCGGTACTGCAAGCATTTATTGAAAAAGATAGTACCAGACCACTGGGTTGTACATAAAGCAAGTGCTTACTCCACTCTTAAATTATTTAGGGCCTGTTGTTTAAGTATGTCGACTAATCGCCGCGATTTGCATCACAATTACTCATATTATACGTCATATCTGAAGACAAATCCATTGACAGGATCAGCTGCTCAGTTACATAGAATTATAAAAGTTATGGTTAAGTTCATTTATAAGTTAGGTGACTGGAAAGCCAGTTAACATCTACCCACACTAGCTCACTATACTTGTCTGAAGCTTACGCATTTTTCACTGTAATCTTATCTGAAGAAAGCTTTCAGTACTCGTCATTTTAACTGTTCTGCAATCGCGTTTTTGTTTAGTTTTGTTTCAGATCGTGGTCGTCTTGTTTTGTGTTCTTGTTGATTTGTGTTTCCTCCGAAAACACCCTTTTCGAAATATTACTTTTTATCTTGGTGATTATTGAAAGATACACGAACAAAATAAAGGAGGGAATTATTGTAACGCTGAAAGCGGTAGAATTTAGATATTTTTTGATCGGAAAAGTCACTTTGGTCCACGATAACTGTTCAGTTCCTGCTATTCGGTTGTGTCAGTGCAGTTGAAGCCTAACTTCATCTCGTCGGGACATTCATTCATACGACTATTCCAGCCAGCAGATCAGGTTGTACTCTACTGCGCTTCAATCCTGAAAATGGCCAGCGAAGACAGTAAGACACTTGTAAATAAAGAATTTCTTACAGGCGTTGTTGAAGGTATGTTTTACATTATGTTCTATCTAATTTACACTTAGGGTTTTATGGTCGGCCTTGGACATATCCTCAACGGAAAGAACTGTTTCGGAGGATGAATCAAATGGGGATGAATGCTTACCTATATGCTCCTAAGGATGATATAAAACACAGACAGTCATGGAGGGATTTGTACACTCCAGAGGAAGAGCAGCAACTTCAGTTTTTGATCACTGAGTCCACTGAAGCTGGAGTACTTTTTATTTTTGCTATATCACCGGGCTTAGATGTAACGTTCTCTAGTGCTAAAGAAGTAGATATCTTAAAGAAAAAAGTTGATCAGGTAAGCGTATACACAGTTGGTTTATTCATAAAGATTGAGTGCCTTCAAAATGTAGTCCGAACACAGAATCATGATGTTCCACTAATTACAGAAAATTTAATCAGTCTAGGTAATTAGATACTCAAGGCGATGTAATTAGAGCTGTTTATTCTGACAAGTAGACTTCGAGAGCATTTAAGAAATTGTTAAGGTCACTGCCTCAGATATTTAGTGTTTATCTACCCCACCTATTTTCATCTAGATGGGTGGATGGCTTATCTAACTCCTCAATAACTGGTTCCAAAGCTCATTGTATCAATCTGTACGTGGGAATCGAGCTGCAAAATAGTTTATTAACCAATCTATTTAGATGACATATCGGGTATCTTGAGCTTTCTGTTTTGTGTTATCAAAGACGTCTCTTTAGAATTGTTATTACTAACATTCAGTGATTCCCTTAACTATTGACTGCTCTTACGAATGCTACTCGTACTGTAGCTGAAATGTTTATCTGTTTTCTTAAAACCTGCGTACAGCTTCATATTCACTTTAACCTGCTGAATGATCACCAAGGGATCTTCTACAAAAATATGGTTCTAGTTATCTTTTTTCGTCCCTGAAATATTAGTCTATGTTAACGGCATCAGAGCTAATCAGTGATAGGAAATATTAAGCACTAGTCAGAGTTGTTATCCTATTTCCTAAAATCTACAGACGTTAGTGTTACTTTTATCCCTTTCTCACGGGTTCTCTAGTTTGTTTTGTTAACAAATTATAGTATATCTACAAACGAACTTGTGCGAATGAATCCCGAGCTATGTAAATACTGCAACTTCAAACCAAGAAAAAAAAGCCGTTTTTTAATCTGCTGGTGGTATTTTAGAAACATTAAAGTATTCATTTATGAAAAAATGCCCATTATTAGTGATTGTCTCTGATCTGTCTCGGTGTATTTTGAAGTTGATTAATATTGATTAAAAAACATCTCTCCCTTTATATATATATATATATATATATATATATATATATATATATATATATATATATATATATATATATATATATATATATATATATATATATATACTCATTATGAGTTTCATTAAAATTTGCTGAAGTTATCCCTAAAAATTGTCTCTAGCTAATGTGATCAAGCGCGCTAAGATATATGCACATTCTAGAACCGTAGTACAATATGCTGATAGTTTATCTCTATTACTGTCTTCTGAATCGATCGTTCTTAATTTCTACAAACTTTGACACTAAGCATGTAAATTGTCTGAAGTGATGGTAAAGATTTATAGCTCAGATAGATGATTTTTTAGTGTTGCACTTTTTTAATCGGATGGTTTATTTGGGTAGTTTTCGTTGTTGTGATCGACATCATCATTGCTTTTTATTATTAGTCCTACTATTTATTCCTAATTATTAAAGGCTCACTTCTGTGTAAGTTAGGCACTGATAATGTTGTCTAGAACGGCAATGAAAGCCTGAGAGTTAGGCCATCCAAGTCAAAGAATACAACACCACCATATTTGTTAATCAACTGCTTTTGTCGGTACTAAACGTCAGTAAGTCATGTTTGCGTCTATTTATTGTGTGGACTTTTTAAAATTATGACTGGTCTTTAGCCATGTGCTTGAAATTTTGATGGAGGCTTGTAGGATGATTATGAAGTATGGTTAGGGGTTTTAGATGACGCGACAAAATAGGTCATAGTGGCCCAAATGTAACTTTTTTGCTTTACTTTAGTTATTGAGTATAGTAATATTTAACATTTCTCCTGGATTTCAATTTTTCATGAAACTGATATTTCTTATATATAGTTTTCCACAGCTATTATTATTTCAAATTCCTTGCTTTTCGTTCTGCTGATCCTTCTTTACTGTATCGTGGCTTTTGTTAGTTCTTATTCTTACCAGATCATTGGCTGTGTTTGTCAGTAACGTTTTAGGTTTGTTTTGATAGCCCGTATATACGCATCATATATAATATCGATGTTTTAGGTTTCAAAACTTGGTTGTCGTGCATTTGCCCTTCTTTTTGATGATATTGAACCGCGCCTATGTCCTGCAGATCGAGAGGTATTTAACTCATCAGCCCGTGCTCAGGTTATGTTCGCGAATGAAATTTACAATCATTTAGGATGTCCAGATGTCTTTTTGTTCTGTCCAACGGAGTACAGTGCAAGTTTAGCAGTACCTAATATTAATAAGTCAGAATATCTAGCGACAGTCGCTTCCTGTTTAGCACCAGGTAATATATTTGTAACTTGCTCTTTTCTAATATTTCGTTTTATGAATTCCTAAGTTTCTTATTTACATCTATTATCGTTTCTAGTTTAAGCTCATTTCACCACAGAGCGTAAATGAACATTGGTTGCACTCACAAGACGTCATTAAAATGTTAAATAATGTCTCTTTCAGTTTTGGTAAGCGTCCCTCATATAAACACTGGATTTCCTCAGAATTTTTAACTCTTTTTGTCCCTTGTCGGTTTATTCTGGAAAACCAGGAGTTCAGGTGTCAGCCTAGGTAAAGATAAAAACCTATTAGTCGTAGAGTGCTACAGAACTGTAATCAGTGGATATACTTGTTGCGCAATAAACTCAGGATAGTCGCAACATAAACCTGGTGTCAGTAAAATAGTTTGTGGTTGACGGTGTGACAATTAATAATCTTCAAAGACGTGCTGAACGACTGGGTAAGGTGCTTCAGCAGACAATTCGATTGATTCATTGTCCCAGAAACTCCGACCAGATTTGTCTAATGTTTCAAGTGCATGATTTTGTTAGAAACTCAATCATTGACCCAAAATTTTCAGATAAAATAGTGTTTGATCAAGATGCTGACGAAACAGTCTTTTAAATACCTTGAGTAATAACGTAATAATTTTTCAAATTAGTTTTTCTCCCAACTGCGAAATTTTACCTCAGGGTTGATTTGTGTCAGTACCTATTTTAATCATATGAAGTAAACTAGTGGTGTGTTGAACATTATCCTTAGTGATTTAGTAGCTGACTTGATCTGAGCACGAAATTAAAGTGCTCGATTGGCTTTTACGCACTTGGGCTATATATGGCGTTGGCAAGCTATCCGTTTGTCTATTAAAACGTCCGCTGTGTTTTACTTTGGGATTGTAATTTTGTTGATTATTTCTTGCTTCTTCTGTAAATCCATTTAAATTCTCACCAAAAATTTGAATATATGGTTGTATGTGCAGTATTTGGATTAAAAGTTTCATTAAAATTGATAATTCCACTAAATCTTGTTCGTTTTATATTTTTGCTTATCTAAAATTCTTTTCCGATTATATTCAGTATATTTGCGTTTGGAAGTACTTTGCTATTCAATCTTAGTATAGATGTACAGTTTTATTTGCGAAATTGTTTTCTTCACCTTTCCGGTAATTTATTGTAGATATCAGTCAGTCAGTCAGCTACAACATAGGACCAGGCACATATATGCACCGGTCCAAACTGCCACATCTCATTAGCACAACAACATGAACACCAAGTTCATAGGAGCAGTCATTTTAATGGTAGTAATGTATAAAAGAAAGATTGTGTATAAGGATATAGTACAGGAAGAAAGAATTAGTTAGTGAAAGGAAAGATATAAAGCAATTTTAATCTAATAGTTTAAGGGAAGATAGAGAGTGTATACACCGATGCCATTGTGATCGATTCTAAGTCATGTCACCCAGAGTCTCCAACCACTGGTTACGACAGTCACGCGGACCCCAACCAAGTAGTCTGCATCTACCAACATGGCTCAGACTAGAAGTTAGTGACTTCAGGCACTGATGCCACGTTTTGGTTTGGCCGCCCCTAACTTTCTTCCAACCGTCTCCCACATTAGTCAGCTTTGCGCGTCGTGGTAATCGGTGTTCAGGCATACGTAACACGTGGCCCAACCATCTTAGTCGATGGAGATTTACAACCTCATGAACTGACCTATCATCATTCTCTAATACCCTGCGTCTAACCTCACTGTCACTTACCCAGTGATCCCATCGGTTGTGAGCAATATTTCTAAGGCCTCTGTGGTCAGATACTAATAGCTTACGAGTATCTTCTACACTTAATGGCCACATTTCGCAGTCATAAAGTAGAACTAAACGAACTGCTGTGCAGTATACTCGTCCCTTAAATGATAGATGGATATCTCGCCTTCGCCATAGGTGACGTAAGTTGGCAAAAGCCAAGCGAGCTTTTCGAATCCGTGCTGAGATTTCGTCAGACACCAACCCATTAGGGCTGATCAGACTTCCAAGATAAGTGAAGTTGTCAACTCGTTCGACTACTTCACTCCCTATCCTTAGTTCAGGTGTTGACGCAGACCAGTCCTGAAGCAACAACTTGCATTTAGAGGGAGAGAAGCGCATCCCAAACATTCTGGCATTGTTGCTTAGTGCTACCAGAAGACTCTGCATTTTGTCAGCGTCTTCACCAAACAGGACTATGTCATCTGCATATTCTAAGTCGATAAGTGGACCTCCTGGAAGGAGATCAATACCCGAGAATTCAGTCGACGAGAGTGTTATTTCCATCAATAGGTCTATGATGAAGTTAAACAAAAATGGAGAAAGTGGGCAGCCTTGACGGACACCACTTGAGGTTGCAAAAGTAGATGACAGTTCGCCATAAGCCCTGACTCGACTAGTAGTGTTCGAGTAAAGAGCCTTCACAAGGTTTATGTACTTCTGAGGTACGCCTTTCAATGACAGACACTGCCACAGAGTCTCGCGGTCTACAGAGTCAAATGCTGCTTTTAAGTCAAGAAAGACCACCATCGTCGGACGCCGATAGGTATGCCTGTGTTCTAGAACCTGACGAATGGTGAATATGTGGTCGATGCAGCCACGACCAGGTCTAAAGCCAGCTTGGTTCTCTCGTGTTTGTAGTTCACGAGTCTTAGTTAGGCGTTTGATAATTATCGAGGCCAGTATTTTAGATACTATGTTTGTTAAACTAATCCCTCTGTGGTTGTCACAGGATGATTTTGACCCTTTCTTATATATTGGGACGATAAGTGATTGCGACCAGTCAGATGGGATAACGTCTAATTCCCAGATCTTAGCTAAAATATTAGTCAACCTAATCGCTAAAATTGGACCACCATCCTTAAAGACCTCTGGAGCCAATCCATCTGGACCAGCTGCCCTTCCTCGTTTCAGATTAACTATAGCCTTCTCAACTTCAGCAAGAGTTGGGGGACCTACTTCAATGTTCCATTCACTTTGTCTGGGAATGGAGGGTAGTTGTAGAGTAGCTGAAGGCCAGCTGAACTGTTCTCTAAAATGTTCCGCCCATCGTTCTAAACGTCTGGACTGGGAGCAGATAAGATAGTCGTCTTTTTCCGAAATAATCTCACTTACACTTGACTTATTAATTCCAGTTTCTTTTATTAGTCTGTAGAGCTGTCTCGCGTTACATACAGCCTCTGCCTTTTCCATCTCTTTTGCTTCCGTTGCCCACCAATGCACACGGCCGTTCATTAGACTTTTGTTTAACCTATATCTGACTTGTTTTCGTTATTCATCGTGTTCAGAGCCTGATGGGATGAGTTCACGAGAATCTATCAGTTCAATAGACTTATTAGAAATCCATTGGTTTTTTGTAACCTTTTGATTCAAATTACTATTAGATGTCACTGCTATTTTCACAGCTGTTCGTATATATTCCCAAGCGACATCTGGATCAGCCTTGTTTTCAGAACTACCTAAGTGTGACCTCAGTTGTTCCTGTAATATACTTTTGGCTTATTCATTGCTGAGTTCAGTTCTAACGGGTCTTCTTAGTGTGGTTTTTCTGCGTCCAGTGAGGCACAGGCAAATGTGTGCTCGTACTACAGCATCATCAGAGTCTAAACATGTACTCCAAAACGAGCTGAAGTCTTCTATCAAGCATCTCCAACGATGGTTGATGACAATATGGTCTATTTGAGTCCACTTTTGGTTTGGTGAAGAGGGTCGCCATGTTAGACGATGTCTCTCCTTATGCTTGAAATTTGTGTTTGCTAAAAATAAATGATTGTTTGAGCACAGTTGCAGCAGATCACCATTATCTGTTCGTTGTGCTGGAATACTAAAATACCCACCTAAATGCCTTTCTGTTTGGTTTAAACTACCTATCTGGGCATTAAAGTCACCTGCTACGAGTACTATGTCTGAACGTTTAGCTTTCTGAAGAAGTTCAGATAGCTTTCTGTAAAATTCATCTTTCACTCCATCTGAGCTGCAGTCGGTGGGAGCGTAGGCAGAAACGACGAAAAGGCAACGACGTGTGTCACTATCCTTCCGAGTTCTTACGGAGCTGTTTAGCCGAACAGCACATAGGCGACTGTTATTGTAGATGACAGTGAAAGTTAGGTATTATTTCTTGTCTGAATTTCATTACTATTTCGAAAAATGCAACTATGATCTGACAGTATGTCTTCGATATGAAAATATGGGCAAAATAACATTCTTATATATGTAGTTAGTTAATTCTCAAAGTTAATGTTTTTTTCTTTTAATTAATGCCTAAAAATTGACTTAAGGTATCGCTGTAATCTGGACCGGTCCGCTTGTAGTATCTAAACGAATTTTAACTAAGGAGCTGAAGGAATTATCTACTTTACTACAACATCCTATCGTTTTATGGGACAATCTACATGCTAATGATTATGACCAGCGTCGCGTATTTATAGGACCGTACAGTGGTCGACCCTTAGCTTTACGTCGCCAAGGCTTGCTTAGAGGAGTGCTGACCAATCCGAATTGTGAATTTGAAGCAAACTATGTGGCGTTTCATACTCTTGCACAATGGTCGAGGTAAATTGCAACTTGATTTTTGTAATTTATCTGCATTAGGAAATGTATTATAACAGTTGTCTGTATCAGTAATTTAAACAGTAAACTCCCGTTTACACAGTCACGTACTAAGATTTGGACTGTTGTTACTCGATCAAAAGATCAAATTAAAAAAAAAAGTTATTTCTTTTCAAATGTGCTTATTAATTCTCAATATTAGCGCAACTATTTTCTTAAACTCTGTGTTGAGTGTAATTCACATAGAACGCACTCCTGACTTTTATTGGAATTGTAATGTAAAAGTTGATTAGCTCGGCTTTACTTCTGCTGATATACCACTGAAATACACATCCTGCTTGTTCTCGATATCCTTACGTTCGTTTTTATGTAGAAGGCGGCGGTTATACTGTTTTTAAACGTAAGGAGAAACGGAAAATTTACATATTACCGATCATATGGTTTTTTCGTAGTCTGTTTTAATTAAGCAATATTAAAAGTAAGTGCTATTCACTTTTTAATCTAGACAAGCTGGTAGCAAACATATAATACAATCAACTGATACAGAAATGCTATGTACAAGCGAGGATTTTGAATCTAATGCTTCTGATGATAACGAAGTGATTGATGATGGTATCGATGATCAAAAGTCAGGTGATATTAATGAACACCCGTCTGTCTGTCAGGATGACTGTGTAAGTAGAAAACGACAATATGCATCTGTTTACAGACCTCGTGAGGCTCTCCGTATAGCTTTGCGAGACTGGCTTGCATTAATGCTTCAGGTTAGTTTATATGCACACTTTCTACTGTATAATTTTTCTGAGTTTTGCATCAGGTGTAAATCTAATTTGATCTATACAATACACCGGACTGTTGTTTAGAGTTTAAATACCTACTCAATGTCACTAGTCTTTGCACATTAGGTGTGACTTGCAGTCTAATTCACTAAACTTCACATAGTTATTGTCCCATGTAATCGCTTACAGTTTGTATGTGTATCAGTTAATGTTTCTTATCCATTGCAAATTTAATGCAGTAATTGAAAAGTTATTTTGGTGCCCATCGAAATTTTATTCGCTTCATACGCGTACTTTTCAGTTGGTTAACTTCTTGATCGAATTCAGGTACGTTTATGTTATAACTTATGGCCTTGTACCCTTATCCATATATGACGTCATGATACCGCCAATTAGAGAACAGTGACTTATCGGCCGGACCAGTGACACATAAAATCCGTACGAGCAGTCGAAAGTCTTTATCGGTCCCTCTTCCTACCTAACCTTGACTGTTAAGTCCAGAACATCAATCTCAGCCTCCGTGATATGAATCACCCGACCGTTGTTGCTACCTTGACGTGGTGGTCGGGCTTGCCTATCGTGATGAAGCAACCGAGCTATACTGGCTGGAACAACCGTTCCTCAAGGTCCTACCATGTCAGACAGGTCGGTTGAAGAGCGGTAAGACTAAAAGCAACAAACCCAAGGTCCGAAGGCGAAGTCGTACTGCATGGTCCGCATAATTTGAAGTACTAGTAATATGTAGTCTGCTGTTTTCGAACTTAATTAGTTGTAAATTCTGATCCATTTGTCAGTTTTTATAAACAGAAATTCTGACATCGATTAAGATATCATCTTTAGTGCGTCCTCACAAACAGTATCTTGTTCTTAAAATTGTTAATCGTAAACTGATATGGGATTTACCTTACACATGTACAATAGTGGGTTTAATATTACACATGTTTAGGATTATCGATAAGTTTCCAGAGCGTTTCTTATCATTTGACGTTTGATGGTGTTTTTAGCTATGTTGATACTTTTAATGTTTTTTTACCACCGTATTCAATTACTAAGGTATAACTAAATTTTCATTTAAAGGTTGGTGCTTCAAAACCTAGCACGGCTATAGGTACTCCTACACCTATGGATACAGATAATCTTGAAACTGGTCAAAACGAAGCTCCCATGCAGGTAAATTGAACGTTGTCAATTGGTTGTTTTTCTCTTAAAATATCTTAATTCAAATTCATTATCTTGAAATGTCATATGTTGTTTTTCTGGTTTTCTTGGTTACATTATCTTGCTTTAATCAGAGTAACATAAAAAGTTTCTTTTATATATGCAGGTTACAAATTTACTGTATCTCCCTCTTATCTCTTAGAAATCCTACCGTTGTTCATCAACTTACAGGTTTCTGAAATTTCTGTTACTCAGCGAAGATTCGGAACACTATATAGACTCCTATACGGCCCAGTGTTTTTGGTTTGTCTGTATCAAAACAGTCTCTCAATAAGCACTGGAAAAGTACTCAACAGTTTAGAGATATATCAGTGTTGTTTGTTGTTTCTTTATTTTTAGCTGGTAGTAAGAGAATCTTGTCTGGTTCTAAAATTTGCATATCTTTACAAGAGATAATCATTTACGCTTAGCTGATTCATTCGATCTAGTTGCTCATTTCTTATCTATATTTTCTGTTTGAAATACACTTGTATGTGTAGATTATGGATTGTGATGTAATCGCGCTTTGCTTCACAGTACTGGATATAGCTTATCCTTTAGATTTATTTAGCACGGCGGTATACGATGTAAGAATTCAAGTGAGTACTAGCTAATAATTAGGATAGTTTGTGGAGTATCAAAGATGATGTTACATTTTTAATGAATGAACATAAATATATCAATACCAAATGATCATGTGTACAATGATGTCTGTTGATTTTGAACAATAGTTACAGTCTTCTAACTAATTAAATGCAAGATCAAAACTATTTTTAACAACTTTCTTCCTTTCATGGATTGTCATTTTTTATTAAGAATATATACAACTTGCCATATGAGAGCTTCTGATTCTTGTTAAAACTATAAACTTTGTTTCATAATATAACTTAGTTTTGTTGATGTGTGCAGTTCAAAGGGATTCGGCTTTGGTTCGGTTTGAACGAGTAACATAATGTAATGCGATTACTTATGAAAGTTAGCGAAGACTCATATCTCGTATCTTAGAAAGCTGTAAACTCACTTGATGTTCTGTGTATGTCAAATTTGCCGTCTTATTTCCGTGAATTTATCTCCTCTATATGCATTCACTAGTTTGAATGGTCATGTGAAAATAGTTACAGTAGACGTGTAATGAACGAACATACGGGTGGGGGTAATTACTGTATTTTAATACAAAATTACACAGTATCTTGGTAAAATATAAGATCCATATATAAAATACTTCATTTGCAGATATTCCATCAATTGTTCTTTACATTTTCTGTGATTATTCTAATTTACAATTTATTCCTATTTTCATTTCTGTTTTCTTCAATTCGATCTTCTTAGCTTTCTGCTGCTATGCGTCTCACTCCTTATTGGTGTTAAATACTACTTATGTCGACAGACATAAGTAGCATGCACCACACTCGTCTTCCCTTTAAAAATGGTCGTTCTGCTCGCCGTGCCACTTCTTTACTGCAGTCTGTGCCACACTGACTTTCGTAACTCTATCGACATAAGTAGCATACAGATGTACAGTTAGATAAACCAGTCTCCGAATTTCTTGACAATATCCATCTTGAAAGAGACAAAAGACTAATATCACATATGCTGTTCATATAATTTTGATTGTATTTGTCCAACTAGTCTCATGCAAGTGATTAATCAGGATCATCAGTCGATTCTAACGTTAAGTGTTTTATATTGTATTATTAAGTTAAACAGTGATACCACTATCAAATAATGTTTTCCAATAAGATGTTTTCAAATCTATACAGGTATTCATTGCTGTGTAAATTCCATGTAATATTTGCTTTAATTGATAATTATTAGGTTGAATCCACCTCTTCCAATGTCGTCATGACTTCTGATAATAATTCTTCTGAAACCCCTATTTCAGGTTAGTCAATCAAATTTGTTGATAACATAAAGTGTATATTACCAATACAACGTAAATATTTGTTTACAATCGATTTAAAATCAACATTATAACAGTTCAAATAGTTTTATTAATTGTTGGTTTACTCAATTAACAGTTCTCGAATATTTATTATGAATAATAATATGATAAAGAGAGTAAAATCATGATCTCGTTATCTTTTGAGTGTTATTACTCAATCTGTAAAGTAATTGAGGCCGTAGTCCAGATGGAGCTAGTTCAAATATTCCCATGACCCAGGATTTCTAAGATAATTTTAATTATCACCTGTGTATATAATTAGCGTCTTATAGAAAAAATGGAGGTTGTATTGAAATACCATTGAATATTCACATTTTTATTTTATGAAGAAAGGTATCACAAATCTAAGATTTTCGATCTTTAATCTGACGAATCCCCGTTGCGACAATCGAATCATTCAGTTATCACAGGAAACCTATTCCATCAGTAACTGGTGTCATTCACTAGCCAGTGTGCTTAAATCTAAGTAATGCTTTTTATAGAGAGGTTAATTGTATGGATTTAGCTACCTCCAAACTGAAGTAAATGAAACAGATGTGTTAAGCCTATGAACACCAGTTACTGAAAATCAAGCCCTTTAGCTATCGAGATATCGCTCTAATTAGAAATAATGTTGTGTCTTAATTGTCTCACAACAGTAACCCAAATCGATTTACATAGGTTGGTGATATGTTTTTAACCAGACTATTGTATATCTTACGTCCTTGACCAGGTTATTGAAACAAATCACATAGAGAAAGTAAATAGATTGACTAATCTAGTAAACTGAAGATTACTATTTTGTTATATCGTGTTTTGACCTTCTAGCTACTATGTCGTCAGTATGATTTTAATTATGTCAAATAAATCTGTGTCACCCATGCAGTACAATTTCAGTTAATCAAACCAGTCGAGTGTTTATCTAACCACATGATTACAACCTCGGTTGTAACAATACTGTCTTTTCTAACAAAGTTAGCATTGGATTCAAACTTATGTGTAATACGGATAACTAATTCGAGTTATTACGTAGTGTATTCTAGATTCCTAATTATTCTCTGGTACTAGTCAAGGATGAATCATGTCATCATGGTACTAAAAAATTATGTATTTGCTGCATGTCTTACATTGTTTTGCATCATTAGACAAAGGGAAGTAATCATGATAGGAATAGCTTATCTTTATTTTCCTCATATTAATAATAATAATAATAATTACTGTTATTATTATTATTATTGTTAGTTTGTTTTTAGTTACTATACAGTACAATCACTTGTTATAATCTCAGCTGACATGTAATGGAAAATATATTAGCGTAAATACAGACTGATATATGTAAACTCTACTGACAAGAATTCATAAACAAACTCATCTAAAGCTTTCAATTTTATTAATTTATTTTCCACCAAATTATTATTATTATTATTACTTTAGATATGTATCCTTTCTTAAATGTGTGCTCTTATAGGTGATGTAAATTCAGTTACTGTTACCTTAGAGGATTTGGAAATGTTCGCTGATCTTTTCTATTTACCTTTCTCTCATGGACCCTCAGCTATTCGTCTACTAGAATTAGGACATTGGTTACGTGAATATTCGTATGTTTGTGGACCTAACCCATCTGATCTTGAGGTAATAGTCATCAATTATGAAGTTCAGTGTGAAGATATCTTTTTGTTCTGAAAGTAATGCTTTCATATTATACAATGTGAAGAAGCATTCCATTAATATTCATCTTACATAAGTACAATTAGCTTTATTTCTTGCTAATCACAAGTGATAAATCAGCATGTTTCCATTTTTTGTTCTAAATAATCAAACGTTGCATTAACTAATCGAAATTTAATGATCTTCATTTAATAAGTTAATAATATCTCTCATTTATTTTGCCTTTTGAACTTTTTTTTATCTGAACGACCGAACCGTTTTAAAATCCGTGTAATTTATTTTCCAATCATCTTGATTCTATTCTTTTCGCCTTCAGATTTACGAATTTTATATCATCCAACAGAATTTCTGACATTTTAATAATATAAAGTCATGGCGATTTAATAATACGATATCTTTCCCCTTTTTCAGGTCGCGTTAGTAGAACTTCGTTTCCTTTTGTCTCGTTAAGTTGCTTACTTACGTCCGTTATACCTCGCAGTGGAGCATGTCTCTTAGGACTATCTTTCCTTAGATCATGCATGTTTGTCGACTTTGTTTCGAAAAACTGGAGGATATTACAATGGAATTGACCAAATGATGTGAAATTAAACTTGTAACTCTAAAAATAACGAATGTAAATTCTTCAGGTTTGTAAATGCGGGTAGTTCATAGTTATGGAGATAATTACAGAATTTGATGTTATTAATACAACCAGCAACTTATGTCTTTATGTGGTTTATAATTTAAAATAATCTTAAAATCAGTGGTTGGAAACGTAAACTCGCATAGCTCAGAACAGATCACAATGACACATATACATGCACCCTTTATCTTCATTCAGATCTTCAGTTTCAGTATTTCTTCATATATATCTTTTCAATCAGTATTTTTGAACCACATTTTCAAAATTTAGCCTTTCTCACTATCATTACTACTACAATTATCTCAACCCATTCTCTATTAATCCTGTTAATTTCATCTAGTCAATACTAATGTGGTATAGAGAATTGAGCTAACTTACATTTGTATCAAACTCTGTTGATTATAACTAGTTGAATAATTAGTAATCAACAAAATATCATGGTAGTTTCTTTATTTTTTCATTTATTTTTTACTTTTAGAAAGCAACTGAATGGAACAAAAAGTTATCAGATTATATAGATATGGTTTCTACAATTGGTCGAATACGAGATCGTATACAACATTTACCATCTAAAAGTATCTCCTATGAACTAGTACCATATATAACCGAAGTTCATAGTGTAGTTGGAATTATCCTGGATTATTTCCGATGGTTAGGTAAGCCTTACGCTATATATATATATATATATATATATATATATATATATATATATTAACGGTCTGATCAAACAACACTAGTCAGAGTACTTTCCAAATTTACAACCAGGGATTTAAATGGTTTCGCTTTGTTTCTTGTTGTCTAAAAACATTCGAAACATATACATTCAACCATAATCCATATTCAATATAATCGTAGAATGAACAGTAATGTTTTTGGTGGAATATGTATTCTTTATTTGTATTAGTCTGAAATTATGACCATAATAAAACTGATCGCAAATTAATCCCCGTGTAAATTCCTACAAACCTATCAGTCGTGACAGTAAAAACTTTTCTACTGATTGTTTCGAATTGTATTTGTTAGTTTATTTCATGAATATAACCTTTCCAAGTCTCCACATATAGTTTAGTTATTCTTCTGAAGTATTATTGCTCTTAACATTTCAAGGAAAATATTGTCTTAAACCGAGTAATTCTCCACCCTCGAGTTCATTTATAAGTTCTATTCAATGAAACGACCAAAGTTTTCGGTGTTTTGTTCTCTGAGCTGGATGGTTTAGCCGTGGAGATTTCATCGTTATTCCGAACGACATCATCAGCACAAACTTCAGGTAGAAGTGAAGTTTTCTTACAATATTGTTTCATCTATTAACCTGAGTTCCCAGATATTCAGCATAACTAGTGTTTTTCTTAATATTTTACAGAAACTGGAGTCATGGCTTTTCGTAGCATGTCTCATTTAAAGCGGCTTCTAACATGTAAGTTTTTATAGGTTTGCTACTGTTTATACATATTGAATGCCAGTAGTTTAGTAATTAATACAAGATTTTCTTGAACCTGATCCCGTATAGGATTGCACCGTTGTGAAATCCTAGACTATTATCAAACGTTTATTTATTTCTATTTTCCATTAATTCTCAGTTTGATTAAACATCATGATCTAAATTATCTTAGGAAAAAGTTATCATTTATTGTTGTGTTTGTAGCCAATAGTAGTATACATGATTACGCATGAAAATGGGGGACGTGTTATTGATTTACAGTAGCTTAGGCTTCAAACTAGAGGACAGCTGTTTATTATTAGTTTCAAGGGTAAACTATGGTGGAAATCATTTGTTAGAGAAGGGAAGCGTCTTGAAAGAGCTCATTTTTGTTTCTAAGCATTTGTCTTCTGTTTAAGTCAAAGTGGGGTACTTTGCGTAATTCCTATGTACCACCTCTAGGCTTAACATCATTTTAATGTAAATACACGGTGTATGTATATTTTGGGCTTCCTTGACAATGATGCTGTTCGGTGTACGGCTGTTTGTTTGTTCTTTGCGGATCAATATTTTATCCTGTTTCATTTTGTATTTCATGAGAACTAAAAGAATTAGCGTTATTCTTATTTAAAATCTTCCACTTCTTAAAATTTTAGGGTTTTCGCCTGGTTACCGTGATATGGTAACATCTGGTGATCAAGAACCATGGACATTTCGTGGTGGATTGATAACAGAACTTCAGGTAAATAAAATCATACTTTTCAGCTAGCTTTCATTCAGTTGAGTGGTTGGAGTTAGTTGACAAGAAACTCTGGATTTAGGCTCTATAGTAGTTAGCACTCGTTACCAAGGGGTACCTGCAATCATGAGGGTACTGGTGCCCCTAGTGGTTTCGAACCCGCGTCACACAAATTCATAGTCTAAGACATTAACATTGAGCTATTTTAAGATCGATTGACCTCATGTAGGACTGAAATATCTGTGATTCGTTAATCACTATCTGGCGACCGCCGTTATATTTGTTGGGCTCTTGAATGCTAACGAAATCCTATCGATCAAGATTAAATGTGACCACTAGTATAAGTGACTCACCATCGGGTGCATTATTTTAATATGTAGGTCACATTGCAACTTCATCTATAAAATTCAGTCAGAACTAAATTACAGAGGTCAGTACTTATTGACTAATCAAGTGGAACTTTTTATCTAATATTCATACAAATTCTCTGTTTTCAACAGTATGCTAATTTATATACTTAGATGACCATTAAACTCATAGAACTATCTATACTTACATAGTTCCAAAAATTATTTACTCAGTTATAAATCGATTTGATTCATTGTTTTCAGATTTATCAACCATTAGCTTTATAGTTATATAAATCATACTTTAAAAATAAACGGATCATTAAAGGTAACAAATTATTCCTTGTAAGGTTTTACACCATATATATTTTTAAGATAAAATCAGTATGAACAATTTTCTTAAATTATAAGCATGCTATTTTATTTGTTACGATTCTTACAAGTTAGATTTCTTTCAGTCTAAATTTTCATTAGTTGGTTATGTTGTAGTCTGTATGACATCATACATTTAAAGGTCTTTTGAATATGATAACTAGAGATTTTCTTTTCCTTGTTCAGAGAATTTTACCTCTCGAATCTGCTCAAGATCTTTTCCCTGCTCCAAGTCGTGCTGTCCCAGGCATGACTACCATTCCTTGTTTGAATTGGCCTGATAATGCATCAAGTGTATACACACCACTTGCGCCTTCTGTTCCCCCAATGATTCCAATTCAACCTTCAATTTTCCCAAATTTTTCAAGGTTTCCATCATATATAGTTCGACCATATAGACCTGAAGATAAATCATGTATGTATGGCTTATTCAGAAAACTACTTTTGACTCGTGTTGGTTTACCTGAAAACGCTCTTCCATTAGAATTCCAGGATTTACCAGGTGACAAGTGAGTAAATTCATATATGAAGTATTTATTGTCGAAGATAGTTTTAAGAAGGTTATGTGTAATTAAATACAACTTTCATCATTAACTAAGTAAAATTACTAAATACTTCAGTTTTCCAGGTTCGATCTTGTTTGGAGTCGTATGTGTACACTAGTTAAAAACCCGTTCAAAGTAGAACGTATCAATTATTGAATTCTCACTGGTTTCCATTGATTCTCCAATTTACATTCGTATACTTATATATGTGCTGAAATCACTATAATGAATATTATTAAATATGATAAAACTCTGTGGATTTATTGTTATGGTTATTTTTATAGTAAAAAAATAGTCAAATAAACATTAATTTATTTCAAGGTTAATTTATAATATATAATGTAAGTGCGTAGCCCACTTATTGTTTATTAGTTTGTTAGAAATTATTATTTTGTGATTTAAATAGGCTTTAGATTGTTAACATGAAGTATCCAGTGCTGATCTATAGGTTGGATTACAGTGATACGATGTGACCAGGCAAGTAATAGTCATAATCAGTATAGAACCTGTCCAAGTGGTAACTATTCAAGTGATCGAATTATTGACATCAACTTACAATGAACCTAGATCAGAAGACAAGATAGTTGACCAGCTGAATAGCTTATTTATTCATTTAATAAAATAACGCACTTATGTAAAACATATCAAGCAAAAATAAACATACTTAAAAGTCAGTCGAAACATTAGAAATCGGGAGATACGTATTTCTTAGGTCACTTAAGTACCATTAAAATTAAGTTTCAATTGTTGGGTTAATTTTTTTCTCCGTCACACTACAATTTAGTTATTTTTATGAGTAAACTAAGATTAAAATCAATTTCTTGATAAATTATCGTTGATTGTAATCAGTTTGTAAATAATTGTCAGAGGTTATTTGTACTACCAAATAAGGTCATTTGAATCACACAAGAATGGAAACATATTGTATCATTTAAATCTGTCAAATATTTTAGTGTGATTTTCATCATTATATCTTGGTTAGTTCAAAGCATGAACTAAATGGTTGTCTAGTATTTTAATCTAACCATTTACTAGCTACTTGATAAAACGCTTTAAAACTACAGTTTGTGAGCATTTAGAAAAAAAACTATAGGATTACCATCCTGATTAGCATTTCCAGGTTTTGTTCATGTAACATTTTAAAAAGATTGCAATCTACTAAGTATGCTTATTGTTCACTGCCTCTAAATGATCAACAGAAGTTTTTAAAAGTATTTGTTTATGTAAACATAAACGTACTGCCTATATTTAACTCGTATATGTTCCTCTTACTTCATTCGTGTTTGGTATCAACTTGTAGGTATTTACTTCCATTTCTACAACATTCACCTGAAAATTGTTTTATGGTTATGGGTCCACCCTTCCTGCAGACCTCAGTTGATTGCTCTAGCTCAGTCACAAATACTGATCATTCTACCACAGGTAATTGTGTTGGCTTTGGTGTTTCAGCACCAGATGCTGTATGTTGGGCTCGTGAACGTACTACTCACTATCGAGAGTCAATGAAATTGAAATATCCACGTGATTTCCAAATTGGAGTACACAATTTATCGCATTGTAACAAATTAGTCGTTGGAAATGGTGAGACCAACAACTCTAACTTGAACGTTGTTAGTGCGACTGATACTGCTCGATTGGAACCTCCTGTAATTTCATCTGCCCCACTTTCCCCTTTAACAGATGATCGTTCTTCAAGCATTACTCCAAATCAAAATTCTGTGGCTGTCGAAGAATTCATCAAGGTGACTAATAATAGTAATATTTTTTGCTCATTTACTATCATCTTTGTTTTTTGTTATGACTGATGTATTCAATTCCACATATTTAGTGTATAACAACTGTTTAGACCTAAATATCTTGTTGGATTTAGTAATCATTGTACTAGTTCCATACACACAATGTATGGACTTTAAAAAATTTCGACGGATCGAATGCACGCAGTAATAATGTTTAAAACATAGTCAGTTTGTTTCAACTAAGGATTATAATTTCTTTACTTAAGCTGATTTTTCTGACATTGTAGTGCTGAGTCCCTGTATCATTATCAAATAAGTATACCGAGTTGTATGAAGTAGTCTTTTGATTCAAATTCCCATACTACTCCAACTAAAGATTTTATTTAAATGAACTAAAAAATATCCAGTGAATATTGAACTAATTTGATAATAAGTTCAAATGTATACAAAATTAGCCATGAAATATATGTTTCGTCATAATGGATATCTAAATATGTTCACTTATGATACCCAACCACTGATGACCATGGCTATACTAATTAAGATTGAAAGATAGCTACAGCTTGTCACAGTCAACTATACAAAATGTAAATTATTAACTACTTAAAGTAATAGTAACGTCTTAGTCATTTTTTTAATTTTCAGTCTATGATTTCTTCTTTCCACAATGATACATCTGAAGTTGTTGATATTGCTGCAGCTGTGAATTTACTCCCTCCTCCCGAACCACTTGGTGGATGCCTTCCCATGGAGCCACCACTATCTGGTTGTTTGGAACAATGTGAACCTAATTGTACGACTGCTCCAATCACTTCTAATATTCCTACTAATTTGTCATCTCAATTAGAATTAAAGTCTTCTTTTCCTATTGATGAATGTGGTGCAACTATCCCAGCTTTACCTTTGCCTACACCTATTTTACCAGATACCGCTCCTCCATCTCCACCATCTGGAACTACTTGTGCACCATCATTAGTGCCTGAGACATGTTCAAGTAGTCCTGCAACAACAAATTCAGTGATAGCTCGGAATCTTATTGTTGCTGGTGGACCAGAAGCACTTCATAGTGCTTTAACAGCTCATCCCGCTATTATATGGATTGAATTTGATGATATAGGATTAAATAGTTGTGTTAATGGTCCTACACCTGCTATGCTTATTAATCATAATCTTGGATTATGTGCAGATTCACCTGAAGTGTTGTTGGATTCTGTAGCACGTCGATTATTTATTTGTTTGTTAGCGGCATTGAAGACAGTTGGCGCTCATGCAAGTTTTTAAATGATAATTTGTTATTATAAAATATGATTGATAAATTTCCTTATTTTAAATAACTATTTCTATTTCTGGTTTCTTTTGATGATTGTTTTCTTAAATAAGTATAAATTTTGGAGATATAAACAGTATAATTTTGTAAGATATTACCACTATTCTATTTCAACTTAATCACTTGTAAATAATTTTTAACTTAAATATTTATGTAAGAAATAAACTAGATTAAATTGAATTTATTATGAAATATTCAAATCTACATTTAACAAATACTTAGAATTAAATGTTACGTATGTCTGAACACCGTTTAAAACGACGCGCAATGCTGACCAATGTCGGGGATGGTTAGAAGAAAATTAGGTGTGGCCAAACCAAAACGTGGTATCAGTGCTTAAAGTCACTAACTTCTAGTTTGGGTCATGTTGGTAGATGCAGACTACTTGGTTGGGGTCCGCGTGCCTATCGTAACCAGTGGTTGGAGACTCTTGGTGACATGGCTCAGAATCGATCACAATAGCGTCGGTGTATACACTCTCTATCTTCCCTTAAACTAAGAGGTTAAAATCGCTCCATATCTTTCTTTTCACTAACTGATTCTTTCTTCCTGCACTATATTCTTATTGCAATCTTTCTTTTATATATTACCACCTCTGAATTAACTACTTTTATGAATCCAGTCTCCATCTTGTTGTGTTAATGAGGTATGGCAACTTAGACCGATGCATATATGTGCCTGGTCCCTCGTTGTAGCTGACTGACTGACTAGCTGTAAATTAACAAGGATTGTTTAAAACTTGAATATAATGCTTTTGTACATTTTGATTATTGTATTATTTAGCTGAGAATTCTATAACAGAGAATTACTTTTAAAATTTTCAACTGAACCAATCAATCAGAATTGTGACTAAAGTTTTACGAGTATATCATGTGAATGGAATTGACAATCTTCTAACTAAATTGTCAATGCTTATGCTTAGATCATCATATTGGTTACTTTCAAAAACCATTTCATGTAAACTGCAAATATTTATATTTCTTAAATTGGAATAGAAAAGTTATGTTTATTTTGTAGATTCATCATTCATGTCATGTTTTCCGTTAGTTTACGAAGCTCGATTTTTTTTATTCTACATTATATTGATTGATAATAATGGATTACTGTACTTAGTTTTAACCCGACAACAATATTATCGATATATATAACGGAGCCTATATTATTGAGAAAAATTAGTTGAACCAATCTAATGTACAAATAAAAACCATTAAATAATACACTTGGTACAAAAGATATAAGATTGTGTTTTGTGTTGGCCACTGGTAATTACTAGAATGCAACTATGTCTAGTTGATGAGTCTTTATATGAGACAAAATCTACATTCTGAATTTCATCGATAATCAGTATGTAATAAACAACTTTTTTATTTCGTTATTTCATTTAAGTTCTGTTAGTGGTATTATAATAGGATTTGTTTTTTTATCGTATTTCTATTTTACTTCAGGGAGCACATGTACAGTTGGATACTATCAATGAACATCGGGCAGAACTTTATCGACGTTTTGGTTTTTATCCTATTCCAGCAGCTTCAAATGAACAAACAACTGTTTTAGCTCGTTTAATTTGATGAAAATCCTATTCCTCTTCCCGTCATATAATCTATGACAGTTTTCTTGTGTGAAGTGTTCAATTATCAATGTTGATCATGATGATATTGCTTAAATTACGTTCCTGTTCTAAATCCATATTATTAAATGTTATCACTGTAGATTATCAATTCACACACACATAGTTGTTTGTTTGTATGAATAATCCAAAGACTATTCTGCACGTTAATGAATCTTGTTTTGACTCGTACGTGCATTTCTGTTTGTATGTATTTTTGACATAGAAATATAAGTTTATTATGTTTATTTAGACAGGTGAATCTGATTTGTCCTCTTTCTCTAATCCATAATCTAATTTGTTTTTAATATCCTTTGGTTAAACAATAAAAGCACAAAAGTTAAAAAACGCGTATAGTTGGGTTCTTTTTCAGTGAACGTGCTTCTATATATACAGATAGCTCAGTTAATTGATAAAATAACTTTTCTACCATTTCTTCCATTGTCCTGTAATGTTGTTACATCATAACGTTTATAAGTATATTTATGCAAACAGTAAAGTTGAAAGTGATCTCTTATAAATTGAAATTACAAATTTCTTTTGATCTCTTTCAGCGTATATATACATACATAAATACATGTAGTCTTTTATTTTTAATTGTTATTTGTGCCGATATTAATGTTGCTTCCTTTGCAGGAGGCTCATTTTAATATAAATTGGATGAAAATATAATTTGTTAACCTTTTTCTTTTGCAACCTGTATAGTTTATACAATAAACTCTTGAGATTACATATGCATCAGAATTGATTGTCCAAAAAACTAGAAATAATACTTTTGTCGTATACTTAATATATTAAACGCCACTGTATTACTGATCAATGAAATGACTGATGAAATTATTTAGATCACCAGGATCCTGTCAAATTAAGTCGAAGGATATATTTCATAGCTTGATGTTTATCAACACAAAACCATTATCTCTGGATGCGTAACATCAATGTTTACATAAATTCCTGCTGGTGGAAATAGATGAATTATATATCGAAGCGAAAAATACATATACTAATCTCACATAAATTTAATCAGTTGGATGTTAATTACGTTAAATGTCCATTTTATGGTCCACGACGAATTTTATGGATAGCTGGGTCATGTAGCGCTAAGTTCTCGTCTTTCAAAAAATAACCTATTTTATCTGAATAAATACTGGGAAATGTCACGCTACGTGACACACTGAACACTACTAATATCCTGGAGACGGCACGTTTATTATCGGTGGTAAATAAACATTAACTTTTAAGTATATTATACAATTTCCCAACAATTAAATTTATTTACGAGAAAATATGTTGTCTACCCTCACCAAATTTTGAAATATGCTCGTAAGTAACTCGTTAGCCGGACAGGATATTAACTCACATTTCTAGATATAAAACAAATCTTGGTAAATTTCGCAACCACAGAATCCGTTGTATAGTTTTTTTTTCTGATTGAAATCTACAGTTAGAAATAGAGAAATTGTAGATTTCCCTTCTGAAAAATAGGATATTGATTTAGATGTATTTTTCTTGTTCTTCCGTTTAGAGTTGCATTTGTTCTATACATTGTTGTTTTGTTTCTTTATACTTGCTAATATATAGAACTTGTAACTTTGTGCGATTTTCTTATTCTAAAAATGAATCGTGTAGTTTGTTCTTGTTGATATAATTAGTATTTATACTTGAAATAACTGTGCAAAAATTCTTGATTCATACTATGTCTTGTAATTTGATTGATAAACCATTTCATAATCTCAATGTCACTAGTATATAACTGCTAATGTGAATAATAAAGCTGAATTCGAATATTTCCATGTTTAATACATTTCTTTGTTTGTTTTTTTCAGTGGTTTCTCCTTGATACAAAATAAAAACAGAACCCTCTTCTTATTAGGACATAAACCTATACTAAAAGAAACATTACATTGTGCCTATTCTATCACAAAATATCTGTTAATTAATAAAAATACAAAAAAGGGTTGAGTAATAGAATGATTCTTAATTGATGTAAGCTACATTACAGACTATTTCGTAGTTACAGAACAATGGAAAATAAGTATATTCATTTAGTGTATGTGAAATATTTTTAAGCCTATTAAATCTACAATAACCGAATACTGTATACACATCTATTTTATTTTTAGTTTCTAATGTCATTGGTTAGTAATAATAGTACTAATATAAATGAACATCTGTTTCAAGTTATGCGAGTAAATGAATATAAAAAAAATAGTAAATATTTGTAATATAACGTGAAGAAGGTCAAGTGATTAGAGAATGTAGTTGAATGATAAAAGTAGAACAAACAGTTCAGTAAACTCATAGAACGGCATCAAAGAGGAAATGAAGTGTAAATTGAAACAAAAATCTACACAGAATGAAGTCATATATAGTAATGTACATATATGAGGAAGTCGGAGTATTTCGTTATTTTCGGTTATGTTAATTAATAATCAAAATTGAAGTCTATATTTCACATTGAACGTGATGTCTTCAAAAATAATCATGTTTGTCACGAAATTCAAATTTTAAGGGGTAGTCATTATTGACCTGAAAATTTATTTGTTATACAGGTTAAACTTAACAAATGCATTAGTTGTCTTAAAAATGTAGAACAACAATCTAGTTTATGGTAAATGAGCATTAAAATTCTTGCAATTTATTTTATGACCTGGTTATCGAATTTAGTGTGAAGTTCATAATTTCCATTTGAAAGCACGACGCTGTAATAAGAAGTACCATCATAAAGTCATGCATAGGTACGTTTCACTCAAACCATTTAATCTCAAAAATGTGCCATATTTAAAGAAATTAAGCGTTATTTGACTGAAGTGCTATATCTGTAAATTTCGCACTGTGAAATTTTGTCAGAAATGCTGTCAAATAATTTAGGCTACTTATGAGTAGGTAAAGTCAATTGCTAATTGTTACTCCAACTAATTTCGTAATCAGCCTAAACTTTTCATCAAATGGTCGCATAATCGCATGAGAACATTTGAAAATTCCATCTGACGAAATGAAAGTTCCTCTTACAGAAGTTCAGATTCTTGTTATTCTATTTGAGTTTTGATATTTGAATGTGGGATCTAGTGTCTAAGATACCTGTTTACTTGAAATCGTGAGTTTTAATACATTAAGCATAAAAAAATATTTTAAACTCAGCAACGATGAGATTAAATATATCTTTTAACAATAGAGTGATGATATAAATAATACATTTTTCAAGCAAATGATTAGTCAATAAGATCTATGGTATAGACAGTATGTTATCAATTACCGAGTGGCCAATTAATGTATTTTTAGTGTTATATATAGAAAACCTGTGGAATAGGAATAGAATGCTTTGATAAAAATACAGTAAATCAAATGAATATTTATATTCAAAAAAATATTATTATTTACAAATTTTCAATTGTTGGTCAATTTAATTTGTAAACTTTATAGTAATCAGCATTGTAGTTATGTAGTTATCCCCACATCTACTAGATATTAAGGTATGTTTTCGAAATCTATGCAATCAAAAAACTAAACAAAATTCATAGTCTTTTAAACCATATTTTCTAGTGAAAGGTGAATGGTCTTATGAATAGAAATGTGTATTTTCAGTGGTATATTTCCCTTTAATAGTTCTGTTGATGCTCAAAAAATGTAGACAGATATTTGAGACAATAATAAATACTATTTAATAACCTACTTTAAAGTTTATTCTCAAGACTATTCAACTAACTTGGTTGGGTTTGTTGGTAATATTATTCACTGGTTATCTAAACCGCATTAATTATAGTGAAGTTTGTATTCGTGACCGTATGAACTGAAAGTTTATTGAATTACATTTCTGATTTAATTTTGTATCATGCAAATAGGGATATATATATCATCAATATTTAAAGCGATTTGTTCAATCTTAGGCGTTATGAAGTTATATTGCACTACAGAATCCACTAGCGGTATTTTAGAAGTGTTGGATAAGATAGGGAATGATTGTGTATAGAACATTAATCTTATGTTTTGTATAGTAGAACCTTTTTTACTAAAATGTAATCCAAATATAATTACTAACATACTTACGTCTGTTACGTCTCATTGAAGAGCATAAGCCATCCACCAACATACTACATCTGCCTTTGTCCCGGACAATCCTTTCCAGTTCTTCCCAGTTGCTATTCATCTTTTCATGTCTGTGTCTAATTTCCGACTCAAGGAGTTCTTTGGTCTTCCACTCTTCCTTTCCAATCAGGATTCCAAGTTGGCACTTGTCTCATTATACAGTTTGATGATTTCCTCAATATATACCCTATCCACTCCCAGCGTCTTTTCTTAATTTCTTATCCAGCTCAAAGCTAGTTTGTTCTCTTCTACAATAAGCTGTTGCTGATGGTATCTAAACAACGGACACTGAGAATCTTGAGTAGACAAATGTTTATAAATACTTTTACCTTTTGGATGATAGTTTCGATAGTTCTCAAAGTTTCATCTCCGTACATTAGAACCGTCTCGACGTCGTTATTGAAGATTATGACTTTGATATTGGTTGGGAGCTGTTTTGACTTCCATATGTTCTACAACTGTAGGAATGTTGTTTTTGTCTTGCCAATTCATGCCTTGACGTCTACATCATGTCCTCCTTGTTCATCGATGATACTGTCCAGGCATGTTAAGGATTCCACATCTTCCAGAGTTCTTCCACAAAGTGTGATTGGTTTGGTTGGTGTTCTCCGTGTTGTATACGAGGACGTTGCTTTTCCCCTTGAGTATGTTGAGGTGTACTGATGCAGAGGCTGCTGCTACACTGTTTGTCTTGATCTGCATTTGTTGATATGCATGGAATAGCTTGGTTAGGTCATCTGATGTCTAAATCGTCTGGTTGTATCCAAGCTGTCTATTGTATTCCGTCGGATGTGAAGGTTTTCATAATCCCGTCAATTACCAGAAGAGAGCGATAGAGCTATCAGCCTTGTCCAAAACCAGTCCTCACCTTGAAAT